GTTTTTAAATTGTTGTTAATAATGTAGACAATCTTGAAAAAATAAGGAATTTTTCCATTCTGTCGTATTTACCTATAGTAAAACCATCATCATCATTTCAATCACAGGATGACCATTGCTGCACACAGGCCTCCTTTAATGATTTCCAGTAAACCTTACGAGTCCGTCAGTTTGAAAGATAAGAAAAGTTACCTCCGCAAAACTATCATGACTTTCTCATACAGTCAAATACCACCTATAATTTAAATAACTTCAATCGTTTCAGAATAAAACGATGGCCTTATTAACTGCACAATAAAGTGTATTTCTCATTACTTTTCGATTGCACTAGAATTTAGGTTGGTGACAATAGAAAACATAATCAAGATTCCGATTAGACGAAAAACAAAAACATTTTTCCAAGCAAAACATTCATGATTTTATAGGGGTTTTTGTACATTCCAAAGTACATTAAACCTATTGTATTGTATGTATTGTACCCTTAGAAATCTCACTCCCAGCAGATTTAATCAGCTAGCGAGTATTGTTTGCAAACGTTGAGCTATTATCGTTTGTTAGTACGACCGACGATAATAAGACCTAAAATACGGAAAAACGGATATGTTTTGGTGCCTTATCACAGTATTTTTGGTTTTAGTATCTTGATTGCAGTTAAACGTTCCTTATTCTTATCATCGAGCAGGTGCTTCATAATTTTCTCTTTGTGTGAATTTGTTAAATTTTTTTACTGATCGCAAGCAATTTATTGTGTCCCAAAAAGTAGTGTCAAGCTGAAGCCCAGAGGTGAAGCATCTCTAGGGCTATCTGAATCACCCCCATGTATATTCCGCGATTTTTGATAGTTTTCGCCCTAGTGATGCTCTAGCTATGGGTTTCGACTTGACACTACTTTTTGGGACATCCTGTATATTCGTATATCTTAATCATAAATCGCAACTACACTCTTCGGTTTGAATTTTTGGATAGATCCAGTTTATTATGTAACCGATTATTGGTACTGTTTGATAGAGCTCGTGAAGCACTTTCAGGATCAGTAATTAGTTTTTTCATATCTTGTATAGTTTAGAAATATTCGAGTGAGATCACTTATCGTTTCCACCCTGTATTTTCCACCGCACCCAATTGATTCAATTTGTTTTTCCTCAAATTCCAGGTCAATACTCCCTGGTAGAGCCGGACGGTTCGATCCGGACCGTGGACTACACGGCGGACTCCGTGAACGGTTTCAACGCGGTCGTCTCCAAGTCCGGCCCATCTGTCCACGCGGCGCCCCCACCACCCCCGCCCCCTCCCCAGCAAGTGAAGCCGGTGATCCGGTTCGTGCCGAAACCGATACCGGTACCAGTCGAGGTGCCCAGCCAGTACTTCAATCAGCAGGCGTACCCTGTGCCTGCGTCGTTCTGTAAGTATAATTGTTTTATAGTTTGGTATTTGTAGGTACTTATCAAACTTAATTACTGGTCTAAGGGATGCACGAACCGATTGAGCTAACTGCGCACCTCGCTAGAAAGCGACTCTCCCTCCCATTTATCCGCACACTTCCCCGCGTTTGCCTTCGTACTAGAACGTTGATGTGACGTCACGGCTGCCAGGTGTGCAGTTAACTCATTCCATTTCCATTCTCTTTCATTTATTTCATTCTCTTCAAATGGTAATTCTTTGCGATAGAACGAGACAACATGATCGGTAATGGGTAGCTGGAACTGTGGCCACTGAACAGTTGAATCTTAGCTTCTGGGTGACAACGTGAGTGAAAGAGATTTTCTGATTGATAAATCTGAAGAGATTTGAAAAATAACAAAGTTTATTTAGATCTTCGATTTACCTAAGCAGATCTTTTTGGGCTTGGTTTTACGAAACACGGCCAACATAAGTTGTTAGATTTTAGCAATACTAACATATGCATGTGGAAACCAAACATGTTAGTAGGTTAAATAAACATGAAATTCTGTCAGGAAACTTAAAAGATTATGATCATTTGTTTTAAATGCTTTTTTTAACCGAACTCTCTGTAGCAAGCAAAGCTGAGTTCTATTGTCCTTCTCCAATTAGCGGATAGTGATCACTCATTGTTCGGCCATTGTTTGCTAATTTCACTTTACATGGTCTTTTAATGGTATTTCAAGTTTTTTAGAATCACAAGCCAATAAATCATTAAGCGCGAAACTGGTGTTAGGGGTGGTGTAAAATTTCTTATAATTATCAAAATTAATTCATATCTGTTTTAATTGATATAAAAGTAAAGCATCTATGTACTTTCTGTATGGTTTACCTTTTTATCGAAGGTTTATTATCCCTTTGTTCGTCATTTGTCTATTCTCATCCACTGTGCATGGAATTAAATTGAATTCTACCTTCAGCTTCTCCTATTTTATTTTGGTTAATTTTATTACGGGTTAAAAAATCTGTTTAAAACTGGAGCTGGGATGGGATCACGATTGAACAGTTGATACTTGCATTGTGAAGAACTTAATTAATGAATCCAGAACTTTGCTTAACCCTAACATTAATGACACTGACGCAATGGATCACCAATAAATTATGATACTTGATGATGTACAGTCTATTTATTAATAGAAACTCCTTATTTTTGTTCCAGTGTTCCCGAAAGTGAGCCCTCAGTTCCCCGAGTACGACGGATTTGAAGCGGACGGGCCATACGCAAACTCTCCTGGAACCTTCTTTTAGATAGAAACTTAGGAAACATATTTATTATTTAAAATAAAATTATATTGTAAGGAAATAATGTTATTGGAGTTTGTTATTTACCATTTAATTACATAAGCAAGCAGCGATTGATCTTACAGATTCTTTGCTTAAAAAATATTTGAGATACCATTCTCGTTACACATTATGGGTAATGATCCATCCTACCTCATGCCCTGCTTTTACTAAGGGTGGATTCATCACACTACTTTAGCAATTCACGGGCATTGAACTAGCGACCCTTGAATAGGCAATCCTTCACTGGAACTGTTGGGCTATTGTCGCTTCTAGTACATAATATAAAGAATAATCATTTTTACCGTTTTACTAGACACGCCAAATACAAAATAGCAATATGTTTAGTAACTTCTGCTAGTGAATAATAGTCAGGGGTCAGAGTTACATTTATTTCTTGTTATTTTTTCTGAAACTAAATTTAATTATAAATATAAAATATAGAAACAGTAACAAACAATTTTAGCCTTGGTCCCTAAAATTGTAAACAATTCAGTATAGTTTATTAGGTACATCTCTCAGATAAAATCTTCTGAAAGAAACTGTAGTTACCTACTTACTAATATCTACCCTATTAGTAGTCCCTCATGTTCGATACGATAAATTAAGTTAAAAAATAAAATAAATATAATTGGAGCTCCTAAATTAAGAGGATAAAAATAAACTTCCTCTATTAGGTACTTTAGTATTGGTTTCATTTTATTTGTAGGTAACTTTGCTTGAAATGTCTTGTAAGGTAGCGGTGATTTGGATTGGTCGGTTCAGCAATATCATAGTTGTGCTAAATTGCTCTTACTTTATTGAGTGGAGACAGACATTGCATTGGTGTTCATTCATCATTCATTCTTAAGTGACAAAATACTGGTCGAAATTTAATAAATATTTATGATTTGATTCATTACAATTTCACAGAGATACGTGCAGTCATTGTACTTCTTATACTTATTGTGTACTGTGTAATTGACAGTGTAAAAGCAGCAAGAGTTTTTTTATACAGGACTATTCAGGAGCTTTCGAAAGACCCAACCTACTGGGAACTAATTTGTCAGAGGCAAAAACAAGGCTTTGTCCTACCTTCCTGAAAATGAGTTTGGGAAGACGTAGGTATATCTAAAAAGTACTTTGGGAAAATAGTTATGTAAGTATGTATTAGCGATGAGTTAGTAAATAAATAAACAAAACCGTATCGGTAGTCAAATGATCATAGATCAAGCTATTCATCGTCATCATTATTTCAGTCACAAGACGTCCACTGCTGAACATAGGTGCCCAATGATTTCCACATCACCTGGTTGGTCGCTGCCTGCATCCAGCGCCTTCCTGCAACCTTTAAGAAGTCGTCGGTCCACCTTATGGGTGGAGGTGCCACGCTGCGTTTTCGCTACGCGGCCTCCACTCCAGAACCTTGCTGCCCCATCGGCCGTAACTTCCGCGTACTGTGCTCTGCCTATTGCCACTTCAGCTTGTTAATCCGTCGGGCTATGACAGCGACTTTAGTTCGTTTATGGATCTTCTCATTTCTGATTCGATCTCGTAAAGCCAAATGATTGCCTGCTACAAATATTTACTTTAAGGTTTAATATAAACAAGATAGGATATAAAAGTCAGCAATGCAATGCCGAGAATGCAATGCTCAAGAACAAGTCGTGACCCACTATTAATGCGGATGAACCACAAATCATCTTCGATTTTTATTGTACACTTAATAGCATTGGCTGTGTAAACCTATAAATATGTTGTTTTGAATACTAATCTGTTATTTTAACACGATTTTGTTACACAATTTCAATGGAAAGAAGGTATTTTTATCTAAGACACCTTTCACTTAGACACCAATGAATAAATAATTTAGTGGTACTAACAAAGTAGTTTTCATCGCCATAAAAAATTAAATTTTCTGATTTATTTAAAATATTACTTTTATGCAAAAAATATTACTTAATGAGCTGACGTTAAATCAAGATGTGAACATTAACTTTATTAAAATTATAGATAAAATATTTCATGTCATGATGTCTTCAACGTTTTCAGTATTTAGAATCAGATATAGACTGTTTTTTTTAATAAGCGAGCATAAAAGAT